ATTTCTGCAGCTTTCAAAGAGCCGATAGTCAAACCGCCACAGGGAGCGAGACCTTCCACTGCCAACATGAAGGAAGCCACGGAAAATGTCTCTCTGGACAGTGCCAGCTGGAGCCAGGTGGCATGCAAGGACTTGCCGGTGAGCGAGACCTGTGGGGAGCCGGGAGGGAGCCGATGGGCTCAGCCATCCCGCAGCTACAGCTCTTGCCCGGGAGCTGGGAGAGGGGGGTGGCCAGCCGGCCGACCGGGCTTTTGCAGGCAGCAAGCCCTTACCTCCTCCAGCTCTGAAATGGGGAGCGGAAAGTGTGCTCACCCCCGACAGGAGCACACTGGGGATGAGGCTGGTGCCACGCAAGCCGCGCTCAGATGCCGCGGTGGTGGGGGCTGAGGGAGGGGATCTTCAAATACGTGACTGGAGCAGAAAGTCCCTAAGCATGGCCTGGACGGGCTTTCCCAGGACACGCTTTTGGGCTGTAAAACCAGCTCCCCACTTTTGCTGGGGACCACCTGGTTTTTTAACATTAAGTTCAACGTAAGCAAGAGCACGGAGTGCTTTGGCAGTGGAGGGAGCTTGGAAGGCTTTAATGTGGCTTTTCAGGCTGCTTGGTGTCACGTTGCTTTCCACTGTGTGTGTAGACTGAAAAGATTAATCAGCCTCATGTGCTGTGAGGGTAGGAGGTGCACTCAAAGATTGTGGTCACCGTCTGCCAAAGATACCACAGGCATGGATAAAGTCTGCTACACAGGGAACAGGTATGTTTGCCTTGGCTAGGATATGAGTGTGACTCGCAGGAAAGGCTGTGAGAAAGATATGGCTGCCTGGAGTAAAAACTACAGGCATGCACACAGAATTAAACCCAAAGCCAGAAAGCTGCCTCAGCAAAGACTTCTTAATTGCAACTATATGCAAAAGGTTAACCAAGCCAAGTAGAGACTCTCTTATTTTAACTGATATCTCAGAACACTAAGTTCCAGTTGACAAACTGTGAATTTAAGAAACAAGAGAGGAGAAAAAGAGACTGTACTCATGGTTGCACACCTACTTGTTTGTAAAGCCTCCAAGTTAACGAGTCCCTGTGGAATTCAATAACGAACATACTTCTGGTGAACCTTAATTTTTAGCTGCCATAATTTCAACATGCGTTTTGACCCAGTAGACTAACATTGCTGAAGCAGTACATTTTTTCCTCAAAAATAAAGTCCAATCTCTTTATAGTGGCATGACATTTATCTCCATTTTGAAAGTGATCCCATTAAACTGAAAGCAAATAGAAGAGCGTAGCACAGCAGGTTTGGCCCTCATATATGCCACCAGAACAAAGTTCACACTGATTAACAGATAACTCATTTCAACCCTTCAGGCTTTTGCACTACAGTAACTCTTCAGCAATACTTTTCTATCCCATAAAATAGATTTCCCTTTGTGCTTCGCCTTTTCTGAACTCAAATTTTAACAGTGCTGTAGGTATTGTAATTAACCTAATAACTTTTCCAGACCAAGGCCCAGGATACTATTTTTTGCTCTGAAGAAGATAACAGTCTGTATTTCACATACAGTGGAAAACCAAACGTTCTCGAGGTCAAAGAACTCAACTACCAGGTAAAAGTTGTAATTTACATACCTCCCTTCAGCAGGGAGCATATCCATCAATGCCTGTTTGTATATGCAAGCCATTTTAAAAGCCAAAGTTGAAGTTCACAACAAAGTTCACACGACTGTTGCACAGTCAAGCGCGCAGAAGTTTTGGGAACAGAATCATGCTCTTGGCTTCAATATTGACAGCAGGCTAAACCCTCCATTGTAAATATATCTAGTAAAGCTAGGGGATAAGACAGGAAAAAGAGGTCTGTTTCTAGGCTCTGTTTTTCTCAGTCTTGAGTCAAATTATTCCTCTGAGGTCTGGGGCAGAGGGACTTTGTCCATCTAGGGATGGTGGGAGCCCTTGCTGGCAAGAATCAGTATGTGGAAGGAGACAAAGAGAGAATGACTAACAAGGAGAATTTCAGGGAACCAGTGAAATTTTTCATCTCACTTTGTGCCACCATAGCACCTGAAGTAGATTTCACAATTTTCAGTTTTGCATAATTTCAAATGACATTAAACATTTTAAACATTTAAAATTTACAATAGCAAAAAATTACCAAAGTAACAGAGGACAGAGATGGCTCTAGTGATTAACAGAATAAGAAGCAAAGCATGAAAACCATACTTGGCTGTAAAAGAACTTTCTTCCATGTATTTCTGAAGATTAGCAATATTATTTTAACATATTGTCTGCTTGTAACATCGTAACTTTGAAGATTTTTATTGCTAAATAGTTTATTGTTTGAATTGAAGGGAGTTGTTTCTTTCTGTTAGGTTAACATGGCATCCCAGATTCCCTGGTATGAAAACCTCGCACAGATGAAAATGCCATGGACCTGGAAATCGGATCCCCGTTCTCATGTATCAATAATCCAGAATCTGAATTTAAAAGTTCAAAGTGGTCAGATGCTAGCTATTATAGGAAGCACTGGTAAGAGCAACCAAATTTCATGATTTGACCAAGTCTCAGATAAAACATACACAGCCAAGAGCAATACTCTGCAGTCTTTTGAATGGTAAAATCTAGCTGAGAAATAACTATTGGAAATGTGTCACTTAAATACATTCTTTAAAATGTATGAGGAAACAAAGAATGATACTGGGGAAAAAAATGAAAATTTATTTTCAACACCAATTTTGTTATGACTTGTACGCATTTGCTGTTTGTTTCCTGAGGTGTAGTGGGGTATTTTGATAACTGTGGCCTGCGGTCCCAGCTCTGCTGGACATGAATCAGCTTCACGGCTCAGATTCAAAACAGGACAATTGCAGACCTTACCCAGTATCATAGCAGACAAATGAGGCCAGACCCTGTAAGAAAGATCAGTGGCAACTTGCATAGCCATAAGCAGGAATTCCCTTCAGATTGAAACAATTCTAACAGGATGAAATACCACATTTGGATTAAGAGAAACTTACGGAGAAGAAAAGACAGTTCCTCTTCTGTTTGGCTTTAAAATGGGTCTCTGCTTTCTTAGCTTTTTCTTTTATTTTTTTTCCTTTCATTTTCTGGTGGGACTGGTTTAATCTTCTCCAGGGTGAGGTTGACTAATGGAGAGATGGCCTTTACCCCATGTGGTTAGTTGCGTCTAAGCTCATCTAGGGGGGGGATAAGAAGTAGACACGTGATCTGTTAAACTGAAGGAAAAAGTACCCGTGCTTTGGAGGTAAAAACCCCCATGCTGTGTCTCCACTAGACTCTTACATCAGGTTAGCTCAGTGATTCAGTGAAGATGCTCTCTCTCAAAGGCAAGGCATATTTGCCAAAGAAGTTTTAACTTTATTTCTACAAAAGAGGTTTTTCTTCCCCACTGCCATGGGAATTTTTTCTTAGCACGTATCCTTAACGTAATTGAAGCTGTACCTTAGAGATTCTCCTGATAATAAAAGGAAAAGCTTGTGATGAAATAACATATTGAGTTATAGATACGGCACCTTTGTAAGGTAACATACACTGAGCACAAATCCCTTTCAGCAAACTAGTCAAACTATTTTTAAAAGCTGTTTATCATCTATTTCATCAAATGCCTTAGTAAAATGGATTAAACTACTGATGGGTTTCACATTGCCAATGGCAATCAATATGTCACTCTTAAACAGAGCAATACATGGTTTACAGATGGATGGGTTTCTTTTTTAAAATGTATATATTAAGAAACAAGTGTGGAGTTAATCTTTCAACAGGGAGACTAGAAATAAATGACATCTAATCATAATAAGAGAGCTCTGTGTGTTTACATACAGTATCATACAGCAAAAAGGAAAAAATCATTTGCTATTTAATTCCAAACCAGGTTTTGTTTTCATTGTTTTACTTTTCTTACCTCTGAGCATGAGCCAGCTTTTCTTAATTATTTAAATGACTTTTTGTCTTATTTAAGTCATAATAATTTTTATTTCAATCTTGATTAAGGTTCTGATTGTCTGTATAATCATTCAGCACCTTAGTCATTCAGCTGTTCCAGCTGCCATTTCTGAATTCAGTTCCTTCCACAAAGCAAGCTCTTGCCAAGCATTTAGTTGCCAGCCCCACAGCCAGCACAGGATAGCACCTTTCACTTACGTGTCAAAAGTGAGAGAGAGGTAACAAGAGGACAAAGAGATCTTGCTTCTTGAGTTCACAGAGCTATCCCTCAACACTCAACTACCCAATTCTGCTGAGAAATGACAAAGGTTAAAGCCACGTACTCCATTCCAGAGGAGACAGATTTCCTGAACATGAGCTTGTAGTCGGGTGTCAGTATTCTCTTTCAAGACCATTCTGTCTCTGCGGCTTTGGAAAAGCTTCAGGAAGGGTTGGGGAAAAGATGTTAGGGAACGAAAACTTCTATCCTCCGTCTTTGACTAAATCAACTTTTCAAAATAATCCCCTGGAAAATAATTTAATTTTCAATTTTGATTTTTCTAGCTGGTGGAAAGACATCTTTGCTTGACGTGATAACTTGCCGGGATCACGGAGGCAAAATCAAGTCTGGTCAAATCATGATCAATAACAAACCCAGCACTCCCCAGCTTGTTAAGAAATGCATCGCACACGTGCGGCAGGATGACCGACTGCTCCCCCACCTGACTGTCAGAGAAACGCTATTGTTCGTTGCCAAACTGCGCCTTCCAAAGTTTTTTTCAGACTCACAAAGGAAAAAAAGGGTAATTAAGCTGTTGGAAAAAAATAAAGTTGTCAAAAATGTGTCTGACAGGAATTATCCAAGAGATCCTGTGTGTTTGGAGTCAGAACAGCTAATCTGGCATTTTTTTATGTAGATTATGAATTATAAACCTTTTTCTTCTTTCAAGATAGAAACCAGCAATTGTTCCAAAGCTCATAAAAAGTGACAATCTAGAGAAAGCATTAGAGAGGCTGAAAGAAGAACTAAATTGCTGATCGCTGAGCCTTTTTTAATGTTATCTCTAAAATCAAGATTTGTTTTCAAGTGTCTCTTGATCAGATAGCACTGAAATATCCAGATGGATTTTAACCACATTAATCATATTTTCAGCTTTATCTATGCGTGAATGTGCAAATAAAACTCTTGCTTTATCTCTGTTACCCTTCGGATCCCCCCAGGTAGAAGATGTTATAGCAGAACTACGCCTGCGCCAGTGTGCAAACACCAGGGTAGGGAATGAGTACCTCCGCGGTGTTTCGGGAGGCGAGAGGCGGAGAGTGAGCATCGGTGTGCAGCTGCTCTGGAACCCAGGTGAGCAAAACCCTGACACCTTCCTTGTGCCCACCACAGAGCAGCGTGGGGAATGGGGCAGTGCATGAAGATAGGAGCTTTCGGGGAAGAGTCATACACACAGTTGCCCCTGGGGCAGCTTTGGGAGTTCATACTCAGGACACAACAGCTCTTGCACCACCCTCTGCCAGAGGTTACCTCTCCATAGCAAAGTTAGGCACAGTGACTGGGTGCCGGTCCGTTTGCTTAAATTGAAATCAGTGCTGATCACAGA